AATTTTTGATTGGTTTTGATTCTTGGGGTATTAGGAAAGCTTTAGAAAGCTTAAAGAGAAGTAGAAACTAAAAGATTTACAAGTTATGAGTGATTGAATATAAATGGTTTTTGAGTGAATTGGTTAGAAAGAGTTAGTAAATGAATTTTGAAATCAGATTTGACTTGTCACAAGCTGGATTATGAAATATAAAATGTTAGAAAGAAGTAAGAACGACGTTGATTAATTGGTATGTTTTTTGGTTTCATGTATACTAGTGAGATAATGGATGTTTAGATGTGTTAAAGTGAGATATGTTGGTTTGGATAAGTATGTTAGAGTTTAAAGGCTTGAAAGGAGTTAAAAGTAAGGGTTATAGCAGGGCTTTTGTAAATTTTTGAATTGAAAAAAAATGATTTTTTGGCAAGGGTATCGGTACTAGATGAACAATACCGATACTCCAAAGCAAAAATAGGTAAAATCTAGGTTTGGGTATCGATACTAGATGAACAGTATTAATACAATAAGGCAAAAGTTGATTAATTCTTAATAGAGTATCAATAATGAAGTAGTAACATCGATACCATGGGTATCGATACCAAGGTTTAGGTATCAATACCATTTGTAGGGCTGAATTCCAGAATGTAAAAAGTGTATCGACACTGAAGTATAATATCAATACCATAAAAAGGAAGTATCGGTACTGTACCTTGGGTAATGATACTATTCATATGGAATTTGTGAATTTAAGAGTTCTGTTTAGCTTATGTTAGTAAGAATTGATTATAGTGATACAAATTCCAATATTTATACAAATCGTATTATTGTGTAGTTAACGATCGAAGGCAAGTTCAGAATGATTCTAAGAGTAAGATCAACCAAGAGTTATAAGTGTATTGCTTTGACTAGTGAGGCTAAGGTGAGTGCATACTATTATGATATATATTGCTATATGGAAAATAGACTTGCGATAAGTCTATTTTCAATGTTTTGAATATATGATTGCATGAATAGAAGCATTGTTATGACTTTGTACTATGTGAATATGCATTGTTTGTATTACACGTTATGTGATATGAACCTATTTGATATAGGTTATTTGGCAATGATCTATGTGACTTTATGAAAATGTGAAATGAGCTATGTGATTACATGCCTATGTGATATAAATTATGTGAACTATTATAAATGGTAAAGCCCATAGTTATGAGAGCTAAGAGTATAATTGGCATGCCAAGAGTTGAGGGTTCTACGCGGTCCTTCGGGATAATTCTACGTGGTCCTTCAAGACATTTCTATGCGGTTCTTCGGGATAATACTATATGGTCATCCAGGACAATTATATCTGGCACCTTGGTGCAATTTCTACGTGGCACTTCGGTGAAATTTATACGAGCTGTGGTGATAGCATTTGTTCACAACCTCAGTGCACTCATATACATTCAGTTCTCAGAAATGTACCATGAGCTATTAAAGAAATAACATGTATAAATACTGATGAATGTTATATGTTCTTATTTGTTATAATGCATGATTGTCTCTGTACTACGTGATACTTATAAATGTAAAGTATATGATTACATGTTTTAATATTTTAGCTATGCATTATATGCCTCACTAAGTCAATTACTTAGCGTATGAGTGTTTCACAAGTAGGATCAAAGAAGCCAGAGGATCAAGGCTAGGAAGTCAGGACATCATATCTCTACAAGAAGAATCATATCATAAGCAATTAATTAGTAGGTTCTTTTGATGTATTAAACATTGTTGGCATGCAATTAAATGTTTGAATCGTATATGCTCTGATCGGTTTTTGTAAAACCCTTTGATTGTATTTAATGTAAATTATTCAGTTTTATTTTAATGTGAATTTGAATTTTTAACTATCTTGTAAAGTATATGATTTGAAAAGTCAGTGTGACACATTGGATTCATATTCGGGTCGGATACAGGTTGGGGTGTTACATTTAATGTTATCATAGCTATGGTTTAGTCGATTCTAGGCATAAAACGAAGTCAAATGTGTTTTAAAAAGTATAAATGCCAACAAATTGTGAATATTTCTGATCTGATAGGATAATGAGTGTGATGTCTTACTAATAGAGTTAAAATGTTATGTCTTATTAGATTTCTGACCACGAGATCTCCTGAAGTGAAGCGGGAGATGATAGGCAAGAAAGTAGTAGAAATTCACCAGGTCAGGCAAGGTGAAGAACAAGTACCTCAGGAAATGCCTGTATCAGGGAGCCTTTTTCAGGACGTTGGACGCTATCCCAACACGTTTCTAACCTCATGCTCCCTCAACTCCTAGAATGAATATCGCGAAAGAGTTGAAAGGATTAGGAGCTCCTAAATTCAAAGGGGAAGTAGAGGAAGGTCATGTTGCTGCGGACCTTTGGCTTAATGACGTGAGGATAATGTTAGAAAGTCTTTATTGTTCTGAAGTAGAGAAGTTAGATGGAGTGGTCTCTCTGCTACGAGGGCAAGCTACAGTATGGTGGACAAATGTCACCATGAGAATGACAAGTGACTAAGTGACATGGTCCTTGTTCTTAAAAGAGTTCAAGCACAAGTTTATTGAAGATCAGTTTATAAGGCAAATGAAGCAAGAATTTATGAGTTTGGAGCAGTGGAATCACACCGTGTATGAATGCAAGTGCGATTTCAATAAGTTGAGTCGTTTTACTGCTGAGATTATTCCAATCAAAAAAGATGCATACGATTGGTTTGTTGGGAGCTTACATCCTAGACTAAAAGAAATGTTAATAGTTTTAAATCTGTCCTCGTTTAAAGAGGTGGTCAATAGTGGTAAATCTCTTGAGAGAGATCAGAATAAGAGATTTGGAGAACAAATAGGTCAGATGTCTAAGAGAACTGGTGCTCCTTCGAGTTCAACACCATCAAAGAGGGGTAGAGATTATAGTTTTCGATCTCAGTAAAGGTCTGAGTCAGCCGTATCCTCCGTGAGAGGATTAAATCCGATGAGAACTAGACAGACTCAATCTGTAGGGTCTGGAGCTGGGAGATCGAATCAAGGTCAATCGAGAAAGTGTCAATGCTGTGGAAAGAACCATATCGGAGTATGTCAAGTGGTCTTCGGAGCCTGTTTCAGATGTGGGGAAATCAGACATTTTATTCGGGATTATCACATGATTACGGGAGAGACTGCTTAGTCTGAATGATCTACTACAGTGTCTCAGAGAAGTAGAGGAAGAGGTAGAGGAATAAATTAGTTTGAGTCCTCTACTCAACAGGAGATGCGTTCAACTGCTCGGGTTTACAACATTAAGACCAATGAAGATCATGATGATCCAAAGATCATTGCAGGTACTTTCCAGTTACTTGATAAATTTGTTTTTAGTATTGATTGATCCGGGTTCCACTTATTCTTATATTAGTAGCAAGTTAGTAAGATAGTTGAAAACACAATTAGAAGCAACAAGTAACGATGTGATAGTGACTAACCCATTAGGGCACAGTACTCGGGTAAATTGAGTATGTCAAGGATGATCCATAAGGATTTAGGGAATTGAATTCCCTGCAAATATGATGAAATTACCCTTTGATGAATTTTAAGAAATACTGGGAATGGACTGTTATATCGCTATCATGTAAATTTCGATTGTAGATTGAAGAGAGTAATTTTGATTAGTCATGATGGATTCGAAGTGATTGTGATTAGTGAGAGGTTTAATCCGTTAACAAATGTTATATCTGTGATGTCGGCTAAGAAGTTATTGTTACAAGGATGTCTAGCTTTTATTGCCAATGTAATTGATACTCGAGTCAAGGAGAAAGGATTAGAGGATATTCCGACAGTCAAAGAGTTTTCAGATGTTTTTCCTGTAGAATTTCCAGGATTACCTCCAGATAGGGAGGTTGAATTTCAAATAGAGGTAATGCCTGGAACAGTGCCGATTGCTATGGCTCCTTTCCGAATGGCTCCGAAGGAATTAAGTGAGCTAAAGATTCAGTTGCAAGAATTACTAGATAGAGATTCATCTGACCTAGTGTATCACCTTGGGGAGCTCCAGTATTGTTTATAAAGAAGAAATATGGTTCTATGTGTCTCTGCATTGATTACATACATCTTAATAAGGTGACCATAAAGAACAAGTATTCCCTCTCAAGAATCGATGATTTGTTTGATCAGTTAAAGGGAGCTTCAGTATTTTCTAAGATCGATTTACGTTCTGGATATCATCAATTAAAGATTCAGGAAAGAGGCATTCTTAAGACGACTTTTAAATGAGATATGTTCATTTCTAATTCATTGTCATGCCATTTGGGTTGACTAATGCACCTATTGCATTCATTGATCTTATGAATAGAATGTTCCAACCCTATCTTGATCAGTTTATGGCTATCTTCATTGACGATATTTTGGTGTATTCAAAGTCTAACGAAGAGCATGACTCACATCTTATAATAGTTCTAAAATACTACGAAATAAGTTGTATTCCAAACTGTCTAAGTGTGAGTTTTGGTTAACTGAAGTGCCATTTCTAGGTCATGTGGTATCTGCAGAAGGAATTCGGTTAGATACTCAGAAGATAAAAACTATATTAGATTGGGAAATTCCCAAGAATGTGTCAGAAGTTCGGAGTTTCCTAAGTCTTGCAGGTTATTATCGAAGGTTTGTCAAGAACTTTTCGATGAAAGCTTTGCTTTCGACCAAGTTGTTGAGGAAAAATGTTTTATTTACTTGGACCTCTTAATTTCAAGAAAGCTTTGAAGCATTAACGAGAATTTTTATAGAAGCTCAAGAATTGGTTCAACCTGAATCTGGTAAGAACTTTATGGTTTACAGTGACACATCCTATAATGGCTTGGGATTTGTACTTATGAAAGAAGGGAAAGAAGTGGCATATGCATCTAGACAATTGAAACCACATGAGAAAAACTATTCGATACATGATTTAGAGTTGGCTGCAGTAGTGTCCACTATCAAGATATAGCGTCACTACTTATATGGTGAACATTACTATCTCTATACGGATCATAAGAGATTGAAGTACCTGATGACTCAGAAAGAATTAAATCTGAGACAGAGGTGGATCGAGCTTCTCAAAGATTATGATGTAATTATTAACTTTCATCCCGGGAAAGAAAATGTAGTAGATGATGCTTTGAGTCATAAAACGTTTGCAGCTTTACGAGCTTTATATGCGAGGTTATCAATGAGTAGAGATGGTACATTACTTGCAGAATTAAAGCCTAAGACAACGTTACTAGATCGAATAAAAGATTTGCAAAATAAAGATGATAAGTGCTTGAAAATGATAGTGCAAGTGGAAAAAGAAGGAAATAACGATTTTGAAGTTAAGTTAGATGGCCATTTGTATTATCGAGGAAGTCTTGTTATTCCAAATAATGAGGAATTGAAGAAGGATCTATTGACATAACCTCATTGTAGTCCGTTGACTATGCACCCATGTGGAAAAAAGATGTATATGGATCTTAATAGTAGGTATTGGTGGCCAGGAATGAAAAGAAGTATCACGGAATTTGTGTCCAAGTGTTTGATGTGTCAGCAAGTCAAAGCTGAGCATCAAGTTCCTTCAGGATTGTTACAACCAATTTCCATTCCTCAGTGGAAATGGGAGAATGTGGCGATGGATTTTGTAACGGGGTTAGCTTTGACTCCAAATAAGAAAGATTCAATTTGGATGATAGTTGATCGATTGACAAGTCAACACATTTTATTTCCTTTCGAACTGATTTCTCCCTGGATAAGTATGTTGTGTTGTACATTAGAGAGATTGTTCGATTACATGGTGTTCCTGTTTCGATAGTTTCTGACCGAGATCCTTGATTCACATCGAGATTTTAAAAAACTTTACATGGAGCCTTAGGAACTCGATTGAACTTTAGTACAACCTTTCATCCTCAAACAGAGGGACAGTCCGAGAGGACTATCCAAATTATGGAAGACATGCTAAGAGCTTGTGTAATCGAGTTAAAAGGGTCTTGGGAGAAGTATTTACCACTTGTTGAATTTGCTTACAACAATAGCTATCAGTCAAGCATTAAGATGGCTCCCTATAAGGCTTTATATGGAAGGAAGTGTCATACACCATTGAATTAGTACGAGCTCAAGGATTAGGAAGTTCTTGGTCCTGAGTTGATCAAGGAAGTAGAGGAGAATATTCAATTGATTCAGAATAATCTTAAAGTGGCTTCTGATAGACAGAAGTCATATGCCGATTTAAAGAGAAAAGAGATTGAGTTTGAAGTGGGAGATAAAGTATTTTTGAAAGTATCTCCATGGAAGAAAGTATTATGTTTTGGACGGAAAGGAAAGTTGAGCCCTAGATTCATTGGGCCATATGAGATTGTTAAGAGAGTAGGACCAGTGACATATCAATTAGCTTTGCCATCGAAAATGGAGAAGATTCATAATATTTTCCATGTGTCCATTCTTCGAAGATATCGATCCGATCCATCACATATTATTGCATTGAGAAAGATAGAAGTTCAACCTGACTTGACTTATGAGGAGGAACTGTTGCAAATCTTGGCATATGAAGCTAAGCAGCTTATAAATAAAATGATTCCATTGGTCAAAGTTTTGTGGACGAATCACAAAGTAGAGGAAGCAACATAAGAACATGAAGAGGATATGCGTAAACAATTCCTCCATCTCTTTGCACAATGAAAATTCAAGGATGAATTTTCTTAAGGGGAAGATTTGTAGCATCCTAAAAATCGGGTTAGTAACCAAAGTGTAAAATTTTAAAGCTTTGTGACTAATTTAGAAAAAATTGAAAATTTCAGGGACTTAATTAGAATATCTTTGTGTAGGTTTGAATAGAAAAGAAGGAATGATAGAAGGGCATATTGGTCATTTGATAAGAAAATGAATTAAAAAGTTCATTATGAGTATTTTAAATACAAATGGTGGATGAGAGAAAAAGGAAAGAAAAATCTGGAGACTTACTTCTCTTCTTCTTCTTTCATCGTGAGCTTCTTGGCTAAGGTGAGATTCTATGAAGTCAGTTAGTTATTGTAATATTTGATTGGTTTTGATTCTTGGGGTATTAGGAAAGCTTGAGAAAGCTTAAAGAGAAGTAGAAACTAAAAGATTTACAAGTTATGAGTGATTGAATATAATGGGTTTTTGAGTGAAATGGTGAGAAAGAGTTAGTAAATGAATTTTGAAATGAGACTTGACTTGTCACAAGCTGGATTACGAAATATAAATTGTTAGAAAGGAGTAAGAACAACGTTGATTAATTGGTATGATTTTTGGTTTCAAGTATTCTAGTGAGATAATGGATGTTTAGATGTGTTAAAGTGATATATGTTGGTTTGGATAAGTATGTTAGAGTTTAAAGGCTTGAAAGGAGTTAAAAGTAAGGGTTATAGCAGGGCTTTGGTAAATTTTTGAATTGAAAAAAAGATTTTTGGGCAAGGGTATCAGTACTAGATGAACATTTCTGATACTCCAAAGCAAAAATATGTAATATTTGGGTTTAGATATCGATACTGGAGGAACAGTATCGATACCATAAGGCAAAAGTTGATTAATTCCTAATAGAGTATCAATACCAAAGTAGTAACATCTATACCATGGGTATCGATACCAAGGTTTAGGTATCAGCACCATTTTTAGGGCCGAATTCCAGAACATAAAAAGGGTATTGATATTGAAGTATAATATCAATACCATAGTAAGGACATATCGGTACTGTACCTTGGGTACCGATAGTATTCATATGAAATTTGTGAATTTAAGAGTTCTTTTTAGCTTATGTTAGTAAGAATTTATTATAGTGATATAAATTCTAATATTTATACAAATCGTATTATTATGTAGATATCGATCGAATACAAGTTCAGGACAATTCTAAGACTAAGATCAACCAAGAGTTATAAGTGTATTGCTTTGACTAGTGAGGCTAAGGTGAGTGCATACTATTATGATATATATTGCTATATGGAAAGTATACTTGCGATAAGTCTATTTTCAATATTTTGAATATAGGATTGCATGAATAGAAGCATAGTTATGACTTTGTACTATCTGAATATGCACTGTTTGTATTACACGTTATGTGATATGAACCTATGTGATATAAGTTATATGGAAATGATCTATGTGACTTATGAAAATGTGACATGAGCTATGTGATAATGAGCCATGTGATTACATGTCTATGTGATATAAGTTATGTGAACTGTTATAAATGGTAAAGACCATAAGTATGTGTTATGAGAGCTAAGGGTATAATTCGCTTGCCAAGAGTCGAGGTTTCTACGCGGTCCTTTGGGACAATTCTACATGGTCCTTTGGGACATTTTTATGCGGTCCTTTGGGATAATACTATGTGGTCCTTCGAGACAATTCTATCTGGCACCTCGGTGCAATTTCTACGTGGCACTTCGATACAATTTATAAAAGTTGTGGTGACAGCATTTGTGTACAACCTCAATGCACTCATATACCTTCAGTTCTCATAATGTACTTTGGGATATTAAAGAAATAACATGAATAAATACTGTTGAATGTTATATGTTCTTGTTTGTTATAATGCATGATTGTCTCTGTACTACATGATACTTATAAATGTTAAGTATATGATTACATGTATTAATATTTTAGCTATGCATTATATGCCTCACTAAGTCAACGCCTTAGCGTGTGAGTGTTTCTCACATAGGATCAAAGAAGCCAGAGGATCAAGGCTAGGAAGCCAGGACAACATATATCTACAAGAAGAATCAGATCAGAAGCAATTTAATCAGTATGTTCTTTGATTGTATTAAATATGTTTGGCATGTAATTAAATGTTTGAATCGTATATGCTATGATCGGTTTTTGTAAAACCCTTTGATTTTATTTAATGTAAATGATTCGATTTTATTTTAATGTGAATTTGAATTTTTAACTATCTTGTAAAGTATATGATTTGATAAGTCAATGTGTCACCTCGGATTCGTATCTGGGTCGGATATGGGTTGGGGTGTTACAAAAAGTTTGTCCCATTAAATGACATGAATTAAATTGAATCCATTTTTAAAATTTTGGGATTGAGAAAAAGATCAAGTTCTTTAATTAAGTTCACCGAGAAAAGACAGTTAGATCGAATATAAGGTCTCGTCTCGATGTATTTAAATAATTGAACATCCTTATTCTCATTAAATGTTGATAAAATAAGTAATTAATTATATTTGCTTGATGTATGTTTTTAATTCGTTTTATTTTTGCATGTGTTTTTCAATGGGATTTCGAAATAGTAACACTCAATATTGAGAATAGTAACATCTTTTCATTTCGGTTGGAGTAATAAATGACTGCTTTAAGGCACGAGAGGTTATTTATTCCCGATTGGAAATTATTATATATTGTGGTTTTATCTCTAAACAATATTGAATTTTAAGATGAAATAGTGATATCTCTTCATTTCGATTGGACTAATAAATGAATGCTTTAAGGTATGATAAGTCATTTATTCTCGATTGGAAATAATTAGATATTTTCATTTTCTCTCGAATCAATATTGAATTTTAAAATGAAATAATGATATCTCTTCATTTTGATCGGAGTAATTGTAATATCCCAAAATAAGGGCTAGTGACTAAAATGGAAGTTTTGGAACTTTGAGGTTTAATTTTGAAAGATTTAAAAATTTAGGGACTTAATTGGGAAATAGTTTGTAAAGGATTTATTAGTAAAGTTTGAAAGTAATAATGGTATAATGGTCATTTGATAAAAAAGATTTTTATATTCCCTTTATAAAGGAAAATCACGTGGGAAGTGAGGGAAAAGAAAAGAGGAATCTGGAACCTTGCTTCTTCTTCCTCCTCCTCTCCACCGTGACACCATAGCTAAGGTAAGTTAGTCTCAAGTTGGGTAATTCTTTCATTTTTTAAGTTGGTTTTAATTATTGGGGTGATAGAAAAGCTTAAGAAAAGCTTAAGATTGCTTAAAACTTAAAGAGGATTAAGTTATGTGAGATTGAAAGAAAAGAGTTTTTAAGGGAATTATTGAGATTAGGTTAGTAAATAAGTTTTAAAGTGAAAATTGACTTGTCACCAGCTAAAATAAGAAATTCGAAATGATAGAAATGAATTTGGAACATATTGATTTATTGGTTTAATTATTGAATCCAAGCATGTTTGTGGGATATGGGATGTTATAATGAGTTAAAGTGAAAAAAGTTGATTTATGTAAGTATAGTTAAGTCTCAAGGGTTAAAAAAAGGTTAAGGAAGAAGAATTAAGTAGGTTTGAGTGAATTTTCAGGCTCAAAAAGGAAAATTTGGGCAAGGTGTATCGGTACACATTTAATAGGTATCGATACATCAAGAGTAAAATTTGGGAAGACACTCAAAGTGTATCGATACCTTAAGGAGTGTATCAATACCCCCTTGAAAAGGAAAAACTTTCGAATGTAATTTGT